AATTGCGATTCGTTATTTAAATGCATTTTAATTACGTTTCGTTATTCAAATGCATTTTAATTATGTTTCGTTATTTAAATGCATTTTAATTACGTTTCGTTATTAAAATGCATGTTAATAACGTTTCGTCATTTAAATGCATTTAATTACGTTTCATTATTAAAGTGGAGTTTAATTACGTTGTATTATTGAAATGCAATTTAATTACGTTTTGTTATTTAAATTCATTTTAATTACGTTTCGTTATTCAAATGCAATTTAATTACGTCTTGTTATTCAAATGCATTTTAATTTAATTAAAAAAATTAAAATGCAATTTAATTACGTTTCATTATTAACGTTTAATTACGTTTCGTAATTCAAATGCATTTTAATTACGTTTCATTATTAAAGTGCAGTTTAAATTCGTTTCGTTATTTAAATGCATTTTAATTATGTTTCGTTATTTAAACGCATTTTAATTACGTTTCGTTATTAAAATGCATTTTAATAACGTTTCGTTATTTAAATGCATTTAATTGCGTTTCATTATTAAAGAGAAGTTTAATTACGTTGTATTATTGAAATGCAATTTAATTAAGTTTTGTTATTTAAATTCATTTTAATTACGTTTCGTTATTCAAATGCAATTTAATTACGTCTTGTTATTCAAATGCATTTTAATTACGTTTCGTTATTCAAATGCAATTTATATACGTTTCATTATTCAAATGCATTTTAATTACGTTTCGTTATTAATTACGTTTCGTTATTCAATTTAATTACGTTTCGTTACTAAAATGCAATTTAATTACGTTTCATTATTAACGTTTAATTACGTTTCGTAATTCAAATGCATTTTAATTACGATTTGTTTTTATTTCGTTATTACGTTTCGTTATTAAATATGTGCGTACCTTCTTATTAGAATTCAATTTAAATACGTTTTATTATTAAAATGCAATTACGATTCGTTATTAATTGCAATTTAAAAACGTTTTATTATTAAAATGCAATTAAAACACGTTTCAGTTCACATTGACTGAGATAGGGGACTTGGCAAAGCTGTGAAGGGGAAATAAAGGAGTTTCTAATTTAATATAAAGATTCTTAATATTCAAATTTAAATATGCAAACCATAGTTGACCTAACTTTTTTTTCAACACAATGTATTTTGGAGTTGTTGTTCGAATTTTTTGTAAAACTATCGTGATAGTCTGAAAAATATCGAAGTCGGTCACCGGCGGCCAACCATCGATACTATCGATGGTTCCATCGATTTTTTTGCAGCACTACTATCGGTCATCACTTATCATTTATCTATCTATCATTTAAATTAATCATCACTAGCAAAGTGGGATGGCGGGAGAAAATAAATTTAAATATACTTGGCTATTTAGAACCTAAATTAAAGCAACTTAAAAATAAAAAAAAACTTTTAAGAGTATAGTTGAAGTAAATATAATATATAAAATAGACTAAAATAGACTTGTTTAAATATTTAATTTATTCAATTGCGAGAAAGGAAATAATTATAATAAACAAAACTGTTTAATACCAAATTGATGAAACTCCAACAAAAAGAGTGAGGTATTTATTTAAAAATTCTGTTTATATACAGGTATAATTTCTAAATATTCTCCCAACACTGCTGATTACATTCCATATGCGTTTGGTGGCAAGTGAAATCACAAGAACCTGCCATGAAAATAGAAAGCGCAATTAAATGATTTGTCTTTCTATAATTTATGCCACCAATGCCAGCTGTTGCTGCATTGTTTTTATACGAAAAAAGTTGCAGGTAACTTAACTGTAAAACCGAGTACGTATGTATGTACGTGCTTTCGTTCGGAATTACCTGTAAATTGCTTTTCTGACCCGACCCCAAAATGCCAAAGAATCTCCCGCAAAGGGCAAACGACCCCAACGATCCCCTTAAAGTTTATTTTTGGTTCGATTTTGGCGCATCTGCATTTAAATGCCAGCATTTGACGACCCAAAAACTGAAGTCCAATGCATATAAAGACGGGGTCTTGAGTGGCTGAGGCTCATTTCGTAACCGCATTGATAAAACCGGACTGGAATCGATCCCCATCCGAAACGATACGATGCGAACCGATCCGATCCCATGTTGCAGTAAAAACCTTGAATTGCCAAATCTTTAACTGCTTTTTGCTCCAGGCTGACAAATCTTGCATATGGGTAGTTGCCAAACCGAAGAGCGGCATTATAATTTTAATTTTTCTTTTTTTCTTCTCTTTTTTTTTCTTATTGCTAATTGCAAGCCAAACCAGTCGCATATAACACACGCACACTATCGAGATTTAATCGTGATTAGTTTACAAATTAATTTGCCAATTGAATTTCAGATTTAGATTTCTGAGCTTCCAAGAACCACCTCTATAAGATCGGGCGAGAGTAAAAGTGTATTTTTAATTAGCCACTCCACGCCGCGAACCTAAACTAGTTTTCCAGCCCGTCTGGTTTTGCCGCATCTGTGATGTCTGATGTTTTATATTTTTTTCATTTTGTTGATTTTTTTTATCGGAACGGATCGCATCTCCCAAGGACAGCTGCTTTTGGGTCATTGCGTGGATGTTTAGCATATTTATGCATATATTATGTACATATATTACCGGCATGCTCCGATCTTTCGGTGGAAACACCGGGATGTGACACAGTTTTCCCTCGCAAGCAAGATGGGTCCCATGGGCGGGGAAAAAAGACTTGAAAGATCTATCAGATGTGCCACACAAATTCCCTGTTATTTTTGTACAAAGATTCAGACCAGATAAATTTATTAATAATATTATTATTAATAATAAAGTGATATCAATCAAGGTATTTTGATTTTTTATAAAATATATCTATCTGTCATTATAAGTTTAGAGATCTTGGACCATAACATTCTTATATATATTTACCTTTTAAAAAACGGAATATGTTAAATTTTAAAATTATTATTAATTTTCCGGAAGCACTAATGAAAAAAAAACAATCAACTGAATGTAAAAATTGACAATGCAAACCTACTTCGCCTTAAAAGATTTGAGTGAAGGTGTATTAGCATTTTTGATTTACGGGAGTGGTAAAGTATTAAAATATACCAAATATTACTCTGCGATTAATGGGCTTATTATAATGTGCATCATTAAGAAAAGAGGTTTTTTTTTAAATTTAGGAAAATTATGAGTGCTACGCCCATGGTGAATCCTCTTCAGCCTTGAAGCCACTTTTTGGCTGGAGTTTTGGACGAAAGGACGGCCCGGTCTTTCACTTCATCTCATCGCCAATTTGGCTGTTTTGTATAATTTCTGTTTTTTTTTTTACTTAATTTGTTATGGTCTTTTGTGTGGTGGCCTTTTATCGGTGGAACGCCATTTGCATGCGGCCCATCAACTCAATTCAATTCAACCCAACTAAACTCACAATCGGCCCGGGGACCGTTGCCGCATATGAATTTGTTTATGTTCATTTTCGTGTCGCTTTTTCGGCCACATCGACACACTGATCGCTGGGAACGGGCACCCTTTCCAAACAGGATCCATTGGTCCAGCGATCGTGGCTAACTTTTAAACGATCAAGACCCGGAAATATGTGTCATATAGAAGCTGTTTTTTCTGTGCTATTCAACTAATTTTTACCCTATTGTCAAGTGACTCAGTTTAGCTTATATCGTATTTATTAATATATAAAAAAGGCAGTTAATTAGTTTATATTTCTATGGTGTGGAACTTCCTAAGACCAAATACTCTATACAATTAATTTTACCCACCTATGCTTACACCCTCTGTTTTGTTAATAACACAGGTTCTAATTAAATTTAGATAACAAAGCTGAAGAATTCGCGTCCTGATTTATTTTCCATATTTTCGATATGTTTAATTTAACATTTAATTAATATATTTCCTTCACTTGGCGTCTAATATTGAGACGAAGCAAAGCCCTTACTGAAGAATTCGCGTTGAAATATTTTGGTTTCTTTTAAAATCCATGTAACAATTAAATGTAGAATCACATCAAGAAATGAAAATAATTTCCGTTTCTGGCCGTTAGATGGTGCTTTAAACTCAGATCGAGCGGTGCCTGCACTAAAGAATTCGCACAATATATATTTTTTTTCTTCTAATGCATGTAATAAATGATGAAATTAACGTCATACAAAAACACATTACCAAATAAAATTTATTTCTATTTCTGGCCGTTAGATGGGGCTATATACTGTACTAAAGAATGCAGACCATTATCTTTCTTATTTTTTAATGCATGTAGTAATGATGAAATTAACTTCATACAAAATCACTTCAACAAATAAAAATAGTTTCCATTTCTGGCCGTTAGAGGGTGCATTATACCAAGATCGGTCGGTGCCCGTACTGAAGAATTCGCGTCAATAAATCTATGTTTTATTTAGATGCATGTGATTAACGTCATTCAAATCAAAAATAGATGCCATTTGTGGCCGATAGGTGGTGTTTGACAACCAGACCGTACTCTGAAGAATTCGCGTAGTTGTATTTTAGTTTATTTTAAGGTGAATATGAAGCTAGGGCATATGCATGAATTTTCGTCATCCAAATAAAAATAGATTTTATTTCTGGACGTTAGGTGGTGGTGTTTCACAGGCAGACTGTGCAGTGCGTGCTCTGAAGAATTCGCGTAGTTGTATTTAAGTTTATTTTAGGTGAATATGAAGCTAGGGCATATCGCCAGCGGTTTTCCGCTCATCGTCTCTGGAACTTTCTTGTTTTTGTGCCATTACATCTCCGGCTCGCCTTTCTTCGCCGCCTTTGGAGCCCCGGTCCCAGCCCAGCGCCAGCTCGTTTTGGCCTGGCTTGGTTTCGTTCGTCTTGGCCTGGCTCGGTGGAAGTGGCAGTGGCAGTGGCGGGGGCGGTAATGGCCCCGCCCATTGGCATCGCTCTGCCGCGGTCGGCGCTGGCGTCGACGTCGCCGTCGTTCGGAGCCGGTAAAAAGTCTTGAAAAGTGCGCCTCTTTGGCGTTCCGTTGTTAGTTTAGTTTAACCATCGCAGCGCTTGAGTCGCGATCAGTTGCTCAGGCCCAGTTCCAAGTTCCCAGCTCCCAGGATCGTCTCTCTTTTGTTTTTTATTTTTTGTTTAAGTCAGCATTCGAGTCAAAAATGAAGTTATTTTTATGTGCCATTGCTGTGACGCTGTGTGTGGCGACAAGTGAGTGTGAATCGGAATTTAACAATGGATATGGATATGGATCCGTGGGACTATAGCAGTGTTGAAGTGATTTCTGGTCAATTCCGATCCGATCCGAGCCGTAGAAGTCGCAACTTGTTGCTAATTGCTTTGACACTGACACCAAAATGTGTTTTTATTTTTGTTTTTTGCATATCGAGCTGTTTTGGCCATAGCTCTAATGGCTAGATGGTATAAGCTATAAGCTCTAAGCTTTAGCCAATGACATTTAGACGTCTCGCAAGATTGCGTTCCAGCTTCAAGTCGAGTCGCGATTGCGGATCCAATCCATAAACATAAACGAGTTGGGGATGGAGGGCTGGTTTTTCTTTTTCCGTCTGGAAAAACTGGAATGCTGGCCAAGCCCAAGAGTCGCTGGCTGTCTGGGCCGCTGGTTATGCAACTCCTGCAGTTTGTTGGCCAAGTCGAAGTTAAAAAAAAAACCTTACTTTTCTGAGCCATAAAACCGCGTTCATCTCTGTGGCCAGATGGTAACCGGAAGAGGGCATTGAACTCGGCCTGGTCATCGTAAACTTTGTGTAATGATAACCGCTTTTGATCTGAAAAACATTTAAACATGTAAAATGATAAAAAATGATAAAAATATAGGATTACTTCCGGATTCAAAAATTTCTTAGCATACTTTTAGATACTTTCAAAGGTGGTATAGAATTTAAAGAGATTTGACTTAAATCGTTAAAACTATACTTCTTTCGGATGTATCTTAACCTTTTTTTTAGATATTAAACCTTATAGGGGACTTATAATCTGTAAAGATTGCAAATATTTTGTAAAAACTATACCTTTTTCGGGGATATTACTGAGATCTTGACAAAGATCTACAATATTCTAAGTTTTTGGTACTATTACTTCGTATTTCCATCAGATTCTGATCTGATTTATCCATTATTCCTTATGCTATCTTGTCCCCAAGTAACCTGTTCCTCGAAAACCATTGCTCATTGAGCAGGAAACCGCAAATGCGGAATTGCCATCGATGAATCGAGTGCTGGTTCGATCTTGTTACACTTTCGTGTGTGACTGGGGCCACCAGTTGCACCAGGAAAGTGAAAGTGGGAAAACAAGTTGACTCAAGCTATATCTTTTTGTACCTTTTTCCCCCCGACAGCCGTTTCCGCCGCCAACTTTGAGTGCCCCAAGGCAAATGGCCAGTTCGCCGATGAAGTGCAGTGCGACAAGTTCTACGTCTGCGACGATGGAGTGGCCAAGGCAAAGCTCTGTCCCGATGGCCTGGTCTTCGATCCCCTCAACCGCAAGTTCAACAAGTGCGACCAGCCCTTCAATGTAGACTGCGAGGACCGCACGGAGCTCCGTAAGTTGGCCATCCTCTATAATTAACTACCCATCTTAACTGACCCTTTGGGAGTAAACCAGTTTATGCAACATACATAAGTATTACGTATCCCAAGTAACTATGTCAAGGCAAAGTCAACTTGGCAATGTTCATAGCAGATCAGACTTAGTGGGTAGGCACAAGGTCTTCTTTTTATGTCATGAAGTTCAGGATAATACTTCCTCTTTATTTTTTTATTCATATTTACATTTTTTTAATTTGTTGCTTTCATAATTTTGTTTTTATATGAGTTATCTTTCTAAAAATTATCTAAAATGCATTAGATCTGATAAAAATATATTATCAAATGGGGGATGTTACAGTTTTAGTTCATCATATTATGTCATAATATAATATTATAGCACACTTTTGGGCTTTTTATCTCAATAAGTTTGAAACCATATTAGGGAGGTGTCTAAAACTGTGCTATCAATTATAGAATTTTATGCTTCAACATAGCAGAATAGAACTTCTGGATTGAAAATATATGTTAGCACTCTCTACAGATCTGTTTAAGTTGCGTTAGATCTATAGTAACTCAACATCTAACCCAATATGATTTCCCATTACAGAGGAGCCCAAGTCCAGCAAGTACTGCCCGCGCAAGAACGGATTCTTCGCCCATCCCGATCCCGCCGTGTGCAACATCTTCTACAACTGCATCGAAGGCGACGCCCTGGAGACCAAGTGCACCGTGGGTCTGCACTTCGATGAGTACTCGGGCACCTGTGTGTGGCCCGATACCGCGAAGCGCGAGGGCTGCAACCCAGAGCAGAGTAGGTCCACCCTGAAAATAGAGTGAGGTTTCTGGAAATAATCTATATATATATATCTAAAATTTTATCAGGAACTTCCGAGACCGGCTTCGTGTGCCCCAAGGATCAGCCAAAGACCGATGACCGCGGCCAGGTGGTGACCCATCCCAAGTATCCCCATCCCACCGACTGCCAGAAGTTCTACGTGTGCCTGAACGGCGAGGATCCCAGGGATCTGGGCTGCCAGCTGGGCGAGGTCTACAACGATGCCACCGAGATGTGCGATGCCCCCGAGAATGTGCCCGGCTGCGAGGACTGGTACAAGGATGTCGACGACAAGAAGGACTAAGCCCCTTCCGGCCGACCTTTCTCATCACATCCACACTCACACTCATGCACACAAGCACACTGAGAAAAAACAATCGAAACAAAAAACACAAAACCGATTCGCGTCTTAGTCACTTAAATTTAGTAGTTCTAGCCCATTTCCTATAGAACGTATGTGTAGCAGTTAAACTTCAATACTCTGTTTACCCTCTATTCTATCTATCTACTGTTCTTTCTCTTTCCTTACTATCTGATCTGTCTCAAATCACTTACTTTCCTACTTTCTATATCTTTTTATCTCTGTGCCCAACCGAATTCTACCAAATTGTTGTGTATATATTTCCCATTTCCAGACTTTCGCCTTAATTTTATACAAAAGAATAAACTGATTTTTTTATAAACTATACCTACCAAAACTATCTATCTTTCCCACTCCTCTGATTCTGATCTCTATACTTTTCTTTACTATGTTTTAGCTATTTCTATGTGCTTTTCTCTGAACATACCAATTTTCCACTTCGCATCTTTTTCTAAAAATATATACTTATTCAATTTTTTTCTATATCATATACTGTATCAAACTTTTCTGCCTTCTTTAATTGTTAACTTTTTCTATCCTCTACAAAGATTCTTTATTTTGCATCTTTTTATGTTCTTAAACTCACCTCCCATTGATTATTTTCAAAACTTTCAAGATTTTTTTTACAATCTTATACTATATCAGACTTTTTTTCGTGCTTATAATTCTTCTTCAAGTTTACTTTTCCACCTACTGTTTCTTACTTTATACTTTTATTTTGTATATCTTTTTGCGTTCTATGCATTACACATTTATTTTCTAATTCTCTCTTTAAATTCATATTTTTTCAAATACTCATTAGACTATGCTACTTCATAGTTCGAATTCGACAAACCCCAGGCTATTTATTGATTAATTTCTAGACTGTTATTATTTCAAATGCTTTGTGTGCAAAGCCTACAATGTTTGCCTTAATCTAGTTTCTACATTTCTACTTTTATCTAATTTATTTAAGGCATCACCCATTCGACAGTAAATCTGTAAATGTAAGAAAATCCCACTCGTAAACCAACTTCATCCCAGTAATTTCAACCTTTTCTTTGATTAAAAAATGATTTCGAATCTATACAAAATTAGTGTGCATCTCGTTTGGAAATAATTATGATGATGGCTGTTCGGATCAGCTGAAGAGAGTGATCGACTAATCAATCAAACCTTTCACTGGACACGCAACTCTGGGAATATATATGTATGCACGTAATATCGGATAATGTCGGTGGGCGGGGGGCGGGGGGCGGGGCTGGTCCATCCATTATAGCCCTTTGTCAATCCAACGGACAACAAAGAGTCGTTAATTACCCGAGTGGCCAAAGCAAGGCGAAAAAGAGCAGCAACCGCACATGTAAATGAAAATAAAAAGCAGCCAAGAGTTGTTATGCAATCGCCGCAGCAAAGCAGCAGCAAAGCAAAGCAAAAGCAAAAGCAAGAGTTTTGCAATAGTTAACAATGTAACGGCAATCGGCAAACGGGAGACCCAATCATGAATGAAGCTTATGGTCTGCGCGAGCTTTGCCTTTTACTTTCAATCACACATGTTGCCAGAGAAGCCCGATTTCCTCCTCAGACGCGCAGTGCTGGCGGTTTTTTCCCCTAGGAGTGGAGTAGATATCTTAGTTTCATTGAAAATGGCTAAATGCTGATCATAAACCTAAATCTAGGGGCAAAACTGGACCTGGAAACTTCTGGGAAATCACTTAAATGCTTAAAAGTATGCAATAAGATATTATCAAGTCAAAACTCCTATGATTTCGTCCTTAAACAGTAGGTTGTTCTTTTCACTGCATACTTTTAGGCACATTTATAAGTGATTTCAATACCCTTGCGATTTATAAGCATTATTTATAGTAAAACTACAGTAATACATTAAGATATCAATAGCTTATAACTAAGATCTTATATCTAAGATATATAAAAAAGGTGGCTGAATTTCCCATGTATAGACATTCCTTTCAAATATCTGCTGATTTTATGATATTACATTTACATTTACACATTTACTTGAGTAAAATGATTATAAACTGGAGGACTTGAATTTCCCATCTTACATTTCTAACGGAATGTTAAAATGTCTGCAAACTTTTTGGTGTTTTACAATTTAAATTAAAGTTTTGGAACGTATTAAAAAAATTTCTAAAAGTATTTCAAGCTTCAAGGCTTGTACTTTTCTCAGCATACTTTTAGATATATTTTTAAGAGGTTCTAAGCCTCTAGAAATATCAGTGAAGTCCTACTTATAAGTGCAATACTTGTAATCCGATCGATATGAAATTTGGTATATGTTAAAATGTCTGCACATGTTTTGGTGTTTTGAAATTTGAATTTAAGTTTTGGAACGTCTTAATAGAGTGTCTAAAAGTATTTCAAGCTATAAGGCTTCTACTTTTATCAGCATACTTTTAGACATATTTTTAAGACGTTCTAAACCTCCAGAAATATCAGTGGAAGTCCTGCTTCTAAGTGTAATACCTGTAAACCGATCGATATGAAATTTGGTATGTGGGGAGGAATAAACCTCTACCTTCTCTCATATTTGAGATGTGATGGAGAAAATGGCTGACTTGGCAGCACTGGACAACCCAAATCCCGTTTTGCATTCAAACCAACCACCAACAATGCAACAACAATGGCAGCTGTGACAACACACAGCACCACCCACAAAACCCCGCACCCCCCCTATCACCCCCCCCAAAAATAAAAGCCAAAATTTAAGTTTTGCAAAACTTTGGTGTCGTTTGTGGGTTTTTTTTTTGTATTTGTTTCGATATCGGTTTGGTTCGGTTTTTTACTTAGTCGGTTTTTTGACCACATTTCTTCTGTTTTTTTTTTGTATTTTCATTATTTGGCTTGTGTTTTTTGCTGCCAACGGCAAAAACAACCGTCGAAGTCAACGCTGCGCAGTCGCAGCTCGGCCGCTTCTTCTTCTTCTTCTTGGAGCGCGGTATAAATCTTTTCAGTTGAGTTTGGAACGCGTAACCGTTAAAACGTACAGACCTCTTGGAGCGGAAGTTTCAACCATTTTCTGCGCGTATATTTGAATATATATTTTTTTACGGTGCGTGTGTGTGTTATATTTGTGTTTTTTTTGCATTTCCTCTAGTATTATTATATTTAGCATAACATACAAATTATATATTCAAACATTAGGAAACTGAAACATGCAGCGATTCCAAGTTAGCAGTGTCCTAATCCTGGCCTGGATTGCCTGTGGTATGTAATTTCAAAATATTGTTTACTATTATGATGATTAGTTTTTAGGGCCTTGGTTGCCGCAAACAATTATAATTGTTACCACTCCCGCTCACAATTAGCTCAACCTTTCAATTACTCGCGTGTGTGTGCCTCGAAAATGGAAGCTTTTACTTTCAAAAATTCCAATGCAATCGCGTGGAGTGTCCAAATGCGATATATTGGCGGTACATTAGTGCTATGTGTACAAAGGCCCCCCCTTCGAATCTGCCAGACCGTTAGCTCTTTTGTTCTCACCTCGAAAATCGAGTTCGGATCTTAATATATTTTAATTACTGGTTTTGAGCCGAAGGCTAGGCCGCAGATTAGCAGCCCGCCTGCTCCACTTTAACCCCGCCAGACACCCCGATCTTTGGCTATATCCATATAGCAATGGGCTATACCTGATTTGGCATGCAGATCATGTGCTCGATCACTTTTGCTTTTGTTTCCACCCAACTGACTCACTTGGCCGATCCGAGATCTTGGTGCTGGGCGCGGATAATACTCTATATGTGTATATACATCAGCAGGCAATCCGATCCAATCCGGCAAGTTAATGGACTAAATAAAACAAATGCCAAACCCAGTCAAAAGTAGAACTTGGGCCCGTCAAACCAGTTGACAATTAAGTACGATAGCGTTCACATTATACGATCTAGTTCTGGGTTAACCAAGGCAACCAGTTTCAAACCACCCGGGTCCAACCGAAAGGTTGATAGGATCTAATAATTCGCCACACGCTTTGGCCTTTTCGATAAGCGATCGATGTTACTTACGTCACAAGAATTCTCCCCAAGCTCATTTCTGAGATAATTTGTAACCTATAAAGGTTTCTGAAAATTAATCACTTTTACTTGTTTGGCTATACCCATAGATAGTTAATATCTATTAAAATTAATCGGTTATCATAGGATTTTCTTTGAAAAGCAACCATATCTACGAAACCTTTAAATATAAGTAACCGTTATGCGATTTTGATTGACCTAAGACATAAGATAGGTGAGATCTATTTTAATAGAGCTATACTTAAAGGTTCCTGAAGTAAATTACTATTATTTGATTGCCTATAACCATGAGATAGTTAATATCTATTAAAATTGATCTGTTAAACCAGAATTTTCTTTAAAAAACCAAACATAACTAAGAAACCTTAAAAGATAAGTAACCGTTTATAATTTTGATTCACCTAAGACATGAGATAGGTGAGATCTATTATAATAGATCCATAATAAAAGGCTCCTAAAGTAAACTACTATTATTTGCTTATTTACTATTACAATCGATCTTTTATAAGATAATAATCTTTAAAAATCAACTGAAAACTAAGAAACCTTAAGAGATAAGTCACTGTTATTTTAATTTGATTGACATTCGACAAAGGATAGGAACGATCTAGTATAATTGACCTATTAGAAGAGAATTATCTTAGAAAACAATCGGTTTTTAAGCGACCAATCAAGAATTAGTAACACTCATTGACGATTGTATAATGGTAATGACCTAAACAATTTACAGCACATTGGTTTTCTTTATATTACTTGAATAGATCATGTATATCCTCTGCGATAAGGAATCAAATTATATGGGATCGATGACATTTTCACTAAATGACATTTCTCTAATTTCAAGACTAAGATAAATTACCGGAAATCTTTAAAGATTTAAATATATATGCATATGCATGTTTTGCCTTTGATTTTCGACTGTGGGCTTCGAGAAAATTGTGTGCAGACAGGCAGACAGTCAACAATCAACAATCAACCTGTTGCTCGATCTCGATGGCATCGGCATTTCGAGCTTACATCACACCAGCTCCAAAGCTCCATCTCCATCTCCACTTCCATCTCCACCTCCACCTCCATCTCCATCTCCACCTCCAAAGCGATTCGAATCGCTAGACGCGGTGCGAAGATGCGCGAAAGTGTCGTGGTCGCAATTGTGGCGTCACTTGCACTTGCATCAAAACCAGTTGGGCAGGTGGAAAGGTGGACCAGGGGCGATCCACGCGGAGATCGGGTGGAGGGGGCTAACGGATAGAGATAGACCGACTGGCGGACAGGAAGGAAGTAGACGCCACTGTGATTCGGGTTTGAAAATGGTTAATGGTGGGAAACCGTTGTTAGCGTTTAAAAACAACCGATTTGGTAGTCAATCCCAAAACTCTATAGGGCACTTCTGACTCAAGCAGACTCACCTAAACCCAGCTTCGTATTAGATCTACACAGAAAGAAATAACACATAAGTGGAGTAGAAGCCGCCCTGTTTAAATAATTATGTGTTGCTTACCCAAAAGGCGAAACCAATATTTTTTTTATAAATCCATTATAAAAAGTTTTCCAAACTTGGTGTACCAAAAATACCATGTCCAATCCTGTATATCATTTTTAAATCAATATTAAATGTTAATTTAGGGGGTTCTACAAGTATGCAGTGTTTAAAGAAAGTAGACTTTCTGGTTGAATTAATTGTACATACTACTGATTTTAAAATATATTGCTGCATACTTTTAGACAGGCAGAATGACATTTAAAGGGATTGAAAATTCCTAGTGCTTTGTGGGGCACCCCCGATAAAGCTTTCTCAACTTGGTACTTTAAAAAGAGAAGTATGATTATAATGTAGTTTCTGGAATAAAAAAGTTTGGGCTACGTTGGCCTCGCAAGTTAAATATGTACCATATCCTATTCCCATACTGTATGACTATTTAATAATAATATCCTTGTGTACCTTTTATTATTCAAATAGTAAACTATATCAAAATATTTATGTGTATTAAAAAGATGTAGAAGTTTGTAAAACGGAACCATCTTGCTAAAATTTTCTTGAAGAGATATCACGACTCATTGCCACTTTCCTTTAATCCATTTTCAGGACATGCCCTGGCCGTGGGATCTCCGGAGTGCCCCGAGAAGTACGGCGTGCAGGCCTACGCCCACACGGAGAACTGCGACCAGTTCTTCCTCTGCACCAACGGCACCCTGACCCTGGAGACCTGTGAGAACGGACTGCTCTTCGATGGAAAGGGAGCGGTGCACAACCACTGCAACTACAACTGGGCGGTGGACTGCAAGGGTCGCCAGTGGGATCGTGAGTCCTTGGGTTCCTGAGCACATCCCGAACCGTTTCATAAAAAAAGATCCCCTCTCCACCTAGCCACTCCCATCTCCACGCCTGCCTGCGAGTATCAGTTCGGCCTGTATGCGGTTTCCAAGGACTGCTCCACCACCTACATCAAGTGCGCCCACGGAGAGCCCCATGAGCAGGACTGCGACGCCGGATTGGCCTACGACGAGAGGATCCACGGCTGCAACTGGCCGGATCAGCTGCTGGATCACTGCAATCCCGAGGGTGAGTCATCGGTTGTGCCACAAACATTTATAGAGTTTTTGAAAACTTCAAAATATAAAATAGTTGCATACTTTTAGGGGCTTTTATAGGTGATTTCAAACCTTTGGGGATTTTTTTTAAACAAAATAAAATGTATAGTTTAGAAACCATCTTTAAGCAAAATACATCGCATACTTTGTTGCACTTAAATGACTTTTATAGAGATTTTGAAACTAACTTCAAAATAATGAATAGTTGCATATTTGTTGGGTCTTTCATAGGTGTGTCCAAGCCTACACGGATTTTTTAATAAATAAAAAAAAATTAATGGTTACATACAAATTTCTAAAATTGTAGAAACCATCTTTAATCAAAGTTAATTGCATATTTTGAGGCACTTATATGACGTTTAAATCTTGAGAGTCTTTGTCTCGCGGCTTGGGTTCAAAAGTATATCGTTGGAGTCTATAGAAATCTGTGCTATAGAAATATTATGTCGCTTGGTTTGCGTTCTAAAATGTATCTTTGCATAATTTTAGACACTTATTTTTTTTTTTTTTTTTGTATCCCTTAGTATATTTTAAAAGGTCAAAAACCATATTTTAGTCAAAAAATTCAGTTTTTTAATGCATTTCCCTAATGAATAAAGTTTTACCAGATACAAAGTTGTATGTGCCTTTTACATTCAAGCATTAAAAAAATTAAAAACCATCTATAGTATAATATATAATACTATACTATAATACTGTAATATAATATAATATATAATCCTATACTATAATATTATATAATATATAATACTATACTATAATACTATAATATAATATATAATAGATAATATATTAAACCTTTCCTTTGAACAATCCAGCTGTCGTCGGCTTCAAGTGCCCCACCAAGGTGGACCCGAACTCGGTGGCCGCCCGCTTCTGGCCCTTCCCCCGCTTCCCGGTCTCCGGCGACTGCCACCGCCTGATCACCTGCGTCGAGGGACATCCGCGCCTGATCAGCTGCGGCGAGGACAAGGTCTTCGACGAGCACACGCTGACCTGCGAGGAGCCGGAGTACGCCAGCGGCAACTGCGCCAACTACGGCAAATAGGGATCGCCGATCGTTCCGTACATGTATATACTCACGAACCAACTACAGTGCAATCTCGATTATGTGAATGCTAAAATTAAAAATTTATAATTTGTTTGCTGCAAATTTCGAACGAGTTGTTGTTGAAAAATATGTTGTTGTTTTTTTTTTTTGCTTGCAAATCATTACTCCCTAGGTTTTTATTGATTCGCTGATTCGAGTGTGCACTGTACGGTGTTGTAAAGATCAAAGCTCCGACTAACTGCTGCGTCCACTCTTTTTCCGTATCTAGGTTTCACTGTAAAAAAAACTTCCTAGCCCAATAGCTTGTTAACCTCTTTGCTTTTTAACCGTCTCCACATTATTGTCACTTTTTCCTGTTTTCTTAACTTGTTTGCTGTTTGGTCTCTTTTGTATATGAATCGCAATAAAGTTAATTTTATTTATTGTACATTTTTTCAAGGCACAAAAAGTTATTTTTGGGTAAGATGGAAGAATTCCTGAAGTCATCAGAAGAAATATTCTCTTAACTTTATGGTTTTTATATTTTTGGGGGGTTGGTTTCGCCCCATACTCAAATATAAAAGGGTACTACGATGACCTATTGTTTTTTTTTGTTTGTTTTTTAAATTGAATATTTAAAATTATAACTTTAAATAATCAAGGTATGTATACACATTTGTATCAAAGTTATTTCCCAAAAAATAGAAAAAATTCGCAGTGATGTTAGTAAATCTATGAAATATATTTTATTAAATTGAAGTTTACCAGTTTAGTCTTGTGTACATCCTAAATATTAGCTTGTTGATCCACAAAAACCTAAATATTAAACATATATGTTTGGAAGCAAAATATTTAAGTGATATTTGTCAGAAGAGATGTTTACATATCATTATTATTTGGCAGCTTAAATCAAGCATGCGAAAAAATAAATGCACAAATTGGCAACAGCTTTTCGGAACTAATTGATGTTGGCAATAAACTTGTAAAGTATATGTATTTAAGTGTAATTGCAATTAAATAATACTTTGAATTTAGATAAGGAACACAAACAATCTAAGAAAATATGTTAAGTGATGTATAAAACAATGCAGAATTAGTTCCCACCTTGTAAATATGAAATGGGAAATAATTCAGCTTACAGATCAATTAATTCCCATGGCCAAAGACGCCCACCGAAGCCTATCACATCGAAAATACAAAAAATAAACCATCTTAACTAATTATTGCTCCGGATTCAGTCGACCAGGTGACGGCCGTGGTCCTGGGGCGTGGAGAAGATGATTGCGTAGATGAGGCCGTCACGAACGGATTCCGTGGGATTGCCCACATTGAACATGAACTTGACGCGATTGCAGTTGGCATCGGGCACACAGGAGTACATGGGATACCAGCCGGTCTTGTTGAACACCACATAGATTTTGTAGATCTGATTCCGGTAAATGTACACGGGTCGGTCGAAGGTGATGTCCAGCAGAGAGTCGTAGCGCACTCGCGCCGTGCAGTGGGTGTACGTGATCCTCGAGCCGTGCATGTCCTGGATGTGGGCGTACAGCACCTCGGTGTAGCGCTCCGTGAACCCGGCCGACGTCATTAGCTCGCCGCACAGCACTCGCGTTGGCACCTGGACGCCCAGGATCCAGATGTTCGTGTCCACTTGGAAGGTCACGCCAGCATCCGTGACACTGGTGTTGCGGAAGTCAAACTGGCGGGTTAGGGAGCGCATGCAGTATGCGCGCACCATGTCGTTGTGCGAATTGCCAGCAGCGGATCCAGCTCCACCAGCTGGTGCTCCCCCAGCGGGCGCCGGTCCTCCTCGTTCGCCGCTCTCGTCCTCGTTGGCGGGAGCCGGAACAGCTGCCCCGCCCTCGTAGCCCTCGCCGAAGCGCAGTGGGGCGGGAGCTGGCGCGGCATCGGGCGGCACGCCCACTGGTTCGGGGGGGCGCATACCTAGGTCCTCGCCTACAAAACTGAATCCCGCAGTGATGGATCCGAAACGCGGCATAACGCCCATCATTCCGCCGCCGCCACAGCCAGGACCTGCGCCGCGGACTGACGGACCCGGTCCCAGGAAGCCGACGCCGCCCGGGGCAGCAGCTCCAGTGCGGTACGAGGAGGACAGCTCCCGCTGGGCATGTCGGTGGCCCGACTCGTAGAAGTTGCGCGTGCTGCGCGACACACAGAAACCTTCGGGCATGTGGCAATCGTTGAGCGATGGACTCGAGATCTTGATCAGGATGGAGAGGGCCTCGTGCTGCTGCAGCAGCTTGGAACGGGCAGGACCCTCGGCGAACTGTTGCGGAGTCATGGTGAGGAAGCGTATCTTTTTCACCGCCTGCCGGAGCATGGCTCCGTCCAGAATGGTACGTTGGGCGTCCATGATGTTGATCATATTAGCGGCAGCATCGGCGGAGGCATCGCTGTCGATGATCACCAGATCATCGGAGCCCGAGGCCACGTCCAGAGGTGGCGAGGCAGCCGCGGGAGCAGCAGCATCAGTAGCTGCTGAGGAAGTGGAGGCCATGCCGGCGTCCGTCTCGAAGCTGTCACCCTCGTCGTCCTGGTGCATGTGCTGCACCATGGCCGCCACATCGGGCTCCATCTTGATCTCCTCCACCAGCACATGGCCGGCAGCGGTGTCGGGCGACTCCTTGGTCGGCTGCCCAACCTGCCCACCGGCAGCGCCCTCCTCCTGCCCGGATTCGTTGAGGATGCCTCGCTCGCTGGCGAACTTCAGTAGGCAGTTGAACAGATCCAGTTCAGAGTCGATGTTCAGGCGGTTCTGGTCGAGAATGGCCATCAGGGTGGAGACCTCGATGTCCAGGAAGCTGGGATCGGAAAGCACCTCGCGCGTATTGGCCGCGATCAGGTCCATGCTGCTCTGCATGAGGCGCGGCTCATCGAAGAGCTTGGCGAACTCATACGCCCGGCAGGCGTTCTTCGGACTGAGGTCTGCCCAGAGGAAGTGGGTGCAGCGGGTGACCACGTGGGGCAGCATGTACTTCTTGGCCACGTAGCACAGCTCGCAGGCCTTGTCGAAGGATCCGATGGTGATGCGGTCCGTGTAGATGTACTCGAGCATCGCCTCGAATGCCTCCGGCTGCACGTCTGGGATGACGATGGGATCGGTCTTGTCCGGCAGATTGCCGTAGAACATCCGCTCGAAGACCGGCGAGGCCATCGCCAGGAGCAGCTTGTGGCCGGCGATGAGCCGCTGGCTCGGCGAGGAACCAGATCCCACCAGGAAGCGGCAGTCTGCCCACTTCTCCGAGTGCAGCAGGTACTGGCCCCGGTCCTTGAGCTCGGTGAGGCTGTTCTGCCAGTCGATGTCCATTGCGGATGGGGTTGTGTGCGGTCAGGATTGCTTAAGTCCAGGCGTTTGCCCCTCGGTTTTGTGCGAAAACTCCTCGTAAATACAACACGATACAACTTTTAACCACCTCACCTCGATATCGATTAACGATGGGTTGGATGTCGGGTCAACTGATATCGATAACGATTTAAGTCAGTTATATACCTATATAGCCTTCAGAACTTAAAGTTTGACTTTAAACCAGCGGTATTTGTGATATTTCGAAATAATTTATATCTACAATTTATAAAATCCTAAACAATATAGGCCAATCTTTGTAAATATTCGCGTAAACATTTAAAATTATTTAAATTAAGATAATATGACAGTTATTAAAAATCCTTTGTTTTAATATTAATTCCCATTTAACTTATCTTTGTAGATTTAAACTTTTCTCTTTAATATTTTACATAGCTTCTATAGCTAAAAGTCAAGCTGTTAGAATTTAACATAAACATGTTTTATTTTAATGTATTATTATTTAAATATTTATTATTTTATGGTCGTTATATCGTGCAGGGCTATTCGGAGAGTAGCAATTAGTTGAAACTCTTTAATTTTATATTCTATTCTATTTCCCAAGCTATATTTTGGAACAAGTTTAATTATATATAGTTTTATATATAACTATTGAAAAATATAAGGATATGTAGTTATGAAATGAAGACTAGAGTCCGAATCTGTAATACTGTGACTTTTGCAAGACCTTGATATGAGCAAACCTGTCTGTTTTTATTTTTGTATACCCTAAAACTAAAAGGTTCTTATGAAAATTGGTCTTATCTTTAATCTAATAAAAAATTAACTAAAAAGAGTGACTTGATAGTCTGCAATCGATATTTGCAGGATTTATACTCGAGGAGTTGCCACACTTTCGGAAACATCGATAGCCTTGAATAATCATCGTTTATTGTACCAGCTCTAGTTATAATAGCAACAATTGAAAACGAAAATATAAAGTAATTCGGCGCATTTAAACACCGCGAAGAAGACAATTGCATAAAGGAGGAGATAACGAGAATCGCGAGAAAAACAGACGTGAAAATAATAATATCGTTTGTCACCTGCATCCCCGTGTGTGTGTGTGTGCGTCAGTGCGTGTTCGTGTGTTTGTGCTTTGTTCTGCGAGCGTGTCGTTTTGGTTGAAATGGCAAAGAAAACCTACGACCTGCTCTTCAAACTCTTGCTGATCGGCGACTCGGGAGTGGGAAAGACGTGCATATTGTTCCGATTTTCGGATGATGCGTTTACGTCCACATTTATATCGACCATCGGTGAGTAACGGGACCTTGCATACATACATACGCATGTCAGCTGCACAGCCAGGATATGTGCGCCTGTGTGGGTGGGTGGGTGTGAGTGTGTGTGTGTGCCTGGGCGTGGCACTGCCTTATCGACTGGCGGACGCACTGCTTGCTTTGATCACCTTGTAGAATTAACATGAATTTAAGAAATATTAACCCAAGACTATGTAACTCCCTTAATCCCGCACTAAAACAAAATCGAAACACGTAACACGAACGTGCAAACATTTAGTTGGAATGTCTGCTCGATATGCGAATGAATCATCTTCATTATCACTAGGGGGGACTTTATTAATTTACCAAACTTCAAGTTCCGTTCCACAAACGTAATCGATAACATCGCCGTGACGTCATTGGGCTACTTTTATGTTTGTTTTTCCGCACCAAAAAAAAATCGTTGTATTTGAAAACACCTTTCTTGCAGGAATCGATTTCAAAATCAAAACAGTCGAGCTGCGCGGCAAGAAGATCAAGCTGCAAATATGGGATACCGCCGGTCAGGAGCGCTTCCACACGATAACCACCTCGTATTATCGAGGGGCCATGGGCATAATGCTGGTGTATGACATAACGAACGAGAAGAGTTTCGAGAATATAGTCAAATGGTTACGGAATATAGACGAGGTAGGTGACCCCCATGCTATCGCAAGACCTATCCCCTCTAAATATATATCGGTATTTCCATTTCCAGCACGCCAACGAGGATGTGGAGAAGATGATCTTGGGCAACAAGTGCGATATGACGGACAAGCGGGTCGTGAACAAGGAGCGCGGCGAAGCGGTGAGCATCTTCAAAACCCGGGAACCCTTTACCCGTTTAGAGATTAGAGATCACTAGTTGGAAAATACCTTTCAGATTGTTGGCATATATCCTTTAAGAAAGAAGTTATAAAAGCTTGCAGTTCTAAACTCTTCTTAAATTCTGTAGGAAACATTTTTTTTTACCGTATCCTCGTATTCCTGGGTTCTATAAGATTAAAACAAAAATGGTTTTGTTAACTATTCAATTTTAAGGAAATTTATTAATTTTTTTAACTGATCAATCACACGAGAATTTTTAGGATTCTTTGCATAATTATTAATCGTATGGCTTATATCCTAATCCCTTTATATTTTTGTATTTCATTTTAACTTATTTATTTATTTACTATCCTAGCGCAGCGTGTTTACACTTATATTTGTAGCGCTAGGCACGTTTTTTTTTAGAAACACCGATTTGTCTACTTTGAAGTTTCCAATAAATATATTATAATAAATATAGAATAGTATTCTTCTTCTTAAAATCATATAGAGATCATATGGTCCTATTACATTCTTTAGATATCTAGAAAGATAAGCTGGCTTACGTTTCCAATCAATTTTTGTGGGTCCCATTAAATTCTTTAGATAGCTAGAAATTAAAACTTATTTACGTACTTTAAAATTTTAATAAATGAAAAGAATATAATTCTTCGTATATGTAAAAATCAAAAAGGCAAATATCTAAGTCTTCTTACAGTCTTTAGATATCTAAAAAGATACACTGACCTACGTATCTTGCAGTTTAAAGTTAATGAAGAGAAATAAGTTCTCTTTTTTCGTTCCTATTAAATTTCTTCAGATAGCTAGAAAGTTAAACTGATTTAGGTTCTTTATAGTGTCCAAATTAACCAAACAAACCAGAGGAAATTCCCCGGCAAACACACAAACACCCAATTTGCGTTAGAACTCATATGGTTATTTATTTATTGATTGCTTCCCAATGATCACACATGTGTATGCGATCCGTGCCTGTTTTGATCAATTTGTTTACAGAGTGTGTAACCCCCTCTCCTCTTCCATTTCTACCCCGCGTTTAGATTGCCCGTGAACATGGCATTCGGTTTATGGAAACATCCGCCAAGTCGAACATAAACATCGAGCGGGCCTTCTGCGAGCTGGCCGAGGCCATTCTGGACAAGACATCGGGACGCGAGTCGGCGGAGAATCCGGAGCGCGTGATCATCGATCGGCGGAACAACGAGAAGGCGCAGGGCTACAGCAAGTGCTGTGCGTAAAAAGCGGCATTCGAGGCGAACGGGGCGTGGTTTTGGCCCGGTTTGTGTGCTTAGCTGTGCGTGGGAAAGACGGCGGAAGACGGCGAAGGATGGATGGAATTGTATTAGATCGGATTGGAATGCGTTGGGGGTCGGTTTCTGAAACTGATCCGTACAAACGAAATGGGGAAACAAAGCAATAAACCCGGGGTCACTCGCGCACGGTGGGAACTTACTTATAACGAGGATACGAAGATGGAACAAGCAACAGAAACAACCTACCTAAAGTTTAGCAACAGATATTGTAACACGAACATTTGGAAGAATCTTTACAAAAAAAAAAAAACCCCAGACGATTGGTGGTCGGATCAGATAGCAAGTGGAATGGGCTACGTTAGCACAGCTCCAATCAGAGGAGTATATTTGCATTTCGGGTTGCATTCTTTCGGTCAGCTAACGTGGACATAGAAGATCAGTTCCAGGGACTTAAGATAAACAAAGACGGCAGACATAAGCAACTTTTGTAACGTAACTTTTGATATATATATAGTCTTACGATTCCTGTACTCAATCGTTCGTTCGTTCGCCATCACTCGCACTTCTCCCCTGCCGCCCCCCGCTTAGTGTTTTGTTTTTGTTTTGCGTTTCAGTCTAGATATAAATAACACCTATACATATTATACATCGGATAGTATATAGCATATACATACCTTAGCTTGCTTTCGCTTTGTTTTCTACGATACTAAGATACTAAGCCAGCGATACTAAGATTTCGATGGAAGGGGAGGTAGGGGTTATTAGATAGTAGATTCGTACATAGATCCTCTCTGCAGTCACTCCACTCATCAAGCCCGGGGTCAGAGTTCGAGCTGTTCCGAAATTGTTTTCTGATTATTGCCTATATATAAATATGAATCATATATTGCATCGTTTTTATGTGCATTATTCGCGCCCGCACACCCAATATTATTATATATGTGTACACTTAAAGGGGGCGTGGGTGTGCGCGCGAGTATATCTCCAAGTATGTGTATGTATGTAAGGACGGTGCACGCCATGAATGTAGCATCCGCAAGGGAGGAGCGCCCAACCCCAAACGCACCGACGTGCGCTCGCCTCCTGTCTCCTTGTAATTTTATTCTACATATTTTTATACCCGTTACTCGTAGAGTAAAAGGGTATACTAGATTCGTCGGAAAGTATGTAACAGGCAGAAGGAAGCGTTTCCGACCCCATAAAGTATATATATTCTTGATCAGGATCACTAGCCGAGTCGATCTAGCCATGTCCGTCTGTCCGTCTGTCCGTCTGTCCGTCTGTCCGTCTGTCCGTCTGTCCGTCTGACCGTCTGTCCGTCTGTCCGTCTGTCTGTCCGTCCGGATGAACGCTGAGATCTCGGAAACTATGAGAGCTAGGCTATTGAGATTTGGCGTACAGATTCCTGAGCTTCTTACGCAGCGCAAGTTTGTTTCAGTAGACTGCCACGCCCACTCTAACGCCCACAAACCGCCCAAAACTGTAACTCCTACAGTTTTGATGCTAGATAGAAAATTTTAACTGAAATGTATTGTTCTCATCAAAACCTATCGATTGACCTAAAAAAAAGTTAGCCACGCCCACTTAAACGCCCACAAACCGCGAAAACCTGTGACGCCCACAATTTGCATGCTAGATAAAAAATTTTAACTGAAATGTATTGGTGTCGTCAATACCTATCGATTGATCCAAAAATAATTCTGCCACGCCCACTCTAACGCCCATAACGCTTAAATCTGTCTACCGCCGGTAGGTGGCGCATTTTAATTTCGCTTTGCTGCTTGCATATCTCCATTTCCCTTTGAGTAACGGGTATCTGATAGTCGAGGTACTCGACTATAGCGTTCTTCCTTGTTTTTTCGTGTAAACCAATTATTTGTAACTGTATATGGATTTAGTTTAGTTGTCTACACCAAATGATTTACCGATTAAAAATATAAAGAACAACCTAAACCATGTCATATAAACGAAGGACTATCATTTTTTGGGAGGTTAAGGTTCCATTTGGAATGTATAAATGTAACAATTTAATTGGAGAATCTTCGGTATAAAATACATCCTGCATCAGGTATATAAAAAGAGTTGTAACTTGTTTGCAAGTTCATTGTACATTTGATGTACTACTTGGCAGTCCGATGGACACATGTCCCTGCTATCCAGGTGGACAGCACCTGCAGCTGATCGTCTAGGAGAATAAAGTCCGCATCTGAGCCAAAGTCCAGGGTGCCCTTCTGTTTCTCGATCTGCAGGCACTGTGCGGGATGCAAGGTGGCCGCCTCAATGGCGTAGACAACGGAGCAGCCTGCAAGATGAAGCATTCAGTAAGGAATTCTAGCAAGGAGCAGCTGCAAGGATCTTACCGGTGGCCTTCTGGAAGATCCGCACGCACTCGTCCATGGGGGCGATGCTGCCGCACAAGGTTTCCGTGCCGGCGATAAATGCCTTGCCCTGCTTCACCTGCAGCGGCAGCTGTCCTATGTGGTGGACACCCTCCTCCAGGCCCAGAGCCGAGATGGCGTCCGTGACCAGGATCAGGCCCTGCGGATGCGTTCGGTAGGCAATCCTCAGTGCCGCCGGATGCGTATGCACTCCGTCCGAAATGATGCCAAAGTAAACGGTTCGTCCGCGAGGCACTGCATCCGAGGCGAGCAATCCCACCAGGCCGGGATCGCGGTGATGGAACGGCAGCATGGCGTTGAACAGATGCGTGATCAGCGTGGCCCCCTGCTGCACGGCACGCTCTCCATCGTTCAGAGAGGCCATCGAGTGGCCCAGGGCCACGGTGATCCCTCGGTCAGCCAGCTGGCCAATTACCTCCGGGTCGGTGACCTTCTCCGGCGCCAGGGTGATGATCTTGATGCGCTCCAAGGAGCCGTATGTGCTCTCCAGAGTGCTCAGTCCCTTTTTGAAGGATAAATACATACGGTTTATTAATGGGATTCAGTTGATACTAAAAAGCTCTACAGAAAACTATGATAGATTAATCAGAAGATCTTAAAAGTTAGAAACCCACCTTATCAATGGTCTGAATGCAGTTCTCCGGATGCGCACCCTTTTTCTGCGGATTGATGAACGGACCCTCGGCATGGATGCCCAGGATTCCGGCGCCCTTTGGAACATCTTTGGGAATGCGCGGCAGTATTGTGTGGTAGCTCTTGTTGGGCGAGGTCACCAGCGTGGGGCAGAAGGAGGTGACCCCGCATTTGACCAGACCAAGGGCCACCGTGGCCACGCCCTCCTCGATGGTCTCCGTGTCGTAGGAGAAGTCCACTCCATAGCCACCTTTAGAAAAGAAATCATAGATTTAATATTATACTTTAAAATGATATGATACCAAAATGAATTATAATATGATAACCAAAACAGGAATTTGTATATCCATCTAATAGTGAAAATAGATTATCTTTATTACCGAAGCCCCCATTGTTTCTAAAAGACAAAGAACCAGGTTATCGCTACTTAAGTTTAACCACAGTGGGTCTTCGCTGCAAATGCCCACTGTATTCCACTTGTGGTTGAGCTTCTGCTTGGGGCCTTTGAAGTCACGATAAGATTAACTCGCTCCGATTACGAGTGCTCCATATTGCGGCTCGTCAACGGGTAAACAGAAACGATGACCTTGGCGACTGATTGAACCGCGGCGAAAGTACCAATTACTGGGATCGCCGGCAGAATAACAGCTCAATATCATCTATCATATCATTCTAATAAATTAAAATTTTTAAATCGAGATGAATAATATTTTTTGTAGGGTTAATGGCATCTGGGTATAATAACTGAGTTCAAATACCACTGCCAACCTAGGATTTTTATTTTTATCTTTACAAATACTTTTTTTTACCATCAAATTGAAGTGTATTTAAACATATTGATATTATCTATGGTAAATATTAAATGATCTCATTACCGTAAGATACAAAGTTATTTATCAACATGAAAAGAAAAGGGAATGCGATATGATTATAATTTTTATTTTATCCATATAATATTGAATCCATTATGGAGCTTAGTTATAATTCCGGATACATATATCGTCCCAAAAATCATGTGATATGCAAATATTTTTTGACCTTTCAGCATTTAGTCTACATACAAACATAGTTTTAAACTATGTAGAAATGCTTTAATATGATGTGGTTCTTCAAACGAATCCTGGATTATCATATGGATTCTTTCCGGAATAAGGATAGTTGGGTCAGGGTAACTCACCGTTGATCTGGAGGTCGATGTAGCCGGGTGCGATGATGGCGCCTCCGCAGTCGATGCGGCAGTGGGACTTCACCTGCTCGTCAAAGAAGACGGGCTCCGGATTCACGATCTGTCCGTCGCGCACCCACAGGTCATCCTGGATGATCCGGTGGCCCCGAACCAGGCGGCAGTTGGTGAACTGCAGCAGGCGGTGGCTTCTCTCGGGGATCTCCCCATCCGTAGCCTTCTCCTCGCAGGTGCAGTTCGTCCGGGTGTCCATGGGAGGCTAAAGGCAGGGGGCGGGGCTGGCGATCCGGGCGGAGTGAGCGATGGCTCACAAATAAACAACACAAAAGAAAAGTAAACTAAACGAAACCAAAAAAAACGAACTTATCAATCAGCTGTAGGATGGCCAGTTGGCTATTTTATAGCCAGCAATGTTAGCTATTTTTTAACCGGGCTTAAAAATGAACAAATTTTATTTAGATAAAACTTCACAACATATGGTTAAATCACCTCCAAGATTTATTTTTATATTTATTTTTTAACAACATACACTCTGCAAAGAAATTACTTATTAGTTGTTAGTTATCAGTTAGCTGCTTTTGGCTACTTCTAGCTACTTTTTTCAGAAGCGTAAGCTGGAAACACTGGGAGTGCCTTAGCTGACAGCTCTTGGGCGTGTGCATTCGATTGCCGTTAATCGTTATCGATTAGATTCAAATTTAAATTCCGCGAGTTAACAAAATTGCTAGGTGGGGCAAACAACATTTTGTTTAAACATTCGTCGCGGCCTTGTGCCCCCGTCCCCGTCCAATTTGTTTTTATAGCCATAGTTGTCGACTCCTTCGATGGCATCTCGTGGACGCTGCATAAAATGGCAATATTTACCCAACCAGCCGACAGTGAGCAGGCCGAAAATGCAAATGCAAATGATAATGACGACACGGCACCCAAACAGCAACAACAAAGAGCTTCAGGTGACAATGTGCACTGGGAAAAATATATTTTAGGCTTAACTTGCAACTAAATATCTGAAATACAACACTATATGGTAAAATAATAGATTGTCCTTGGGTAATACATTCAGTATATGTAAATTTAAAAACATTACAAATACAATATGATTATGATATGATAATAAAGGTAATAATAAAAGGTTGCCTATAGAATATCAATTATTTTTAATTTTTTTAGTATAATTGATACTAAAGTACACATATTTATGCCTTTCCATTTTATAAAGAAGAGTCCACTAAAAAAACATAACATAAGATTTTTTTAGTAAAATAGCTACATAATATTATGGATAGTAGTTTTAAAAGGATTAAATAAATAAATAGGACTGAGCGCTTATCAAATTTATTACGCAAGGTTTCACGAACGGAAACGTACAATATAAGTGTGATAAAAAATAGAATTTTGTATATATGATCTCCCGGTTCCTAAATGTTCTTTTTCGAGTGTCCTGTTTTTGACGTGCTCCTGGGTTCCTCTGTCTCAGCTAATCCACAATGGCCGACATTTTAAATACAAATTGCAGCGCTGTTGCTGTTGTGCCCATCCAGCCCATCCACATGGCCCATTCAGTCCACTATCCCACTGCCACTGCCACTTCCACTACCACGTCCTCCTCCAAATGAGTTGCAATTTTTGCACACTCCCAAACACACATTGTACACCCGGTTCCTGAAACATGAACTGCACTCGAGGTGGGATAGGTTCGTTCTTTTTTGTCTATTGGCAACTGATTAGCATTTAAATTAAAATGTCGCAAAGTGGCCTTACCAAAATGTTCCACACTTTGTGTGCTCGCTCCATGTTTCCCCTTTATGGCCACAGAA